GTTTCTTCGACGGGGGTTTAATTCAGGGTTCCTTATCTCTCGCTCGCTCGCTCGCCCGCTAATAAACGTGCGCGCGCGCGCACGCTTGCGGAATGACGGACACCTGCCAAGAGTGGAAATCATGAGTCTCGAGAGTTTATGTTTAACCTGTTTTGCGTTGTCGAGGGGCTCGCCGTTAGATAGGTACGCCGCGCTGTGCTAGCTGCTTCTCGGGGCGACGACGTCGGCGACGGCGGCGGCGACGACGACCAGGCGCAACGCGCCGCGCGACCGATGATGAATCTCAACGTCGACTCGCTGCCGGAGTCGGAGTCGCGGAAGCGTCAGGCACGATCAGCACTCGCCACCAATAGATCGGCCCGTCGTCGACCGTGCATAGATCGCGCAATCTACGTAGAACCTGCACATTTATGACAACACCCGGATGGCACGCGAGTTCTCCACCACCGGAGAGGCTCGCTCCTCTCTCGCAGTCTCTCGCACCACGGTCCGTCCCACCGGAACAGTCTCCGACACTCTCCGCGTTCGCACTCCGGATCTCCTCTCCTCGACTCCTCGCTCTCCCCCGCTACAACCGTGCTCGCCTGCCCGCTCGCACTGCGAAACGCGATACCGCCGTGGAACGTTTCGTTTCGTTTTTTTTTCTTCCCCCGTGGGAGGTGCGTGTCGCCGCCCGGCCGCGTCACACTTCCACGATTCGCACCCCGGATCCGTTCGTTTCTCCTTCTCGTAACCTACATCGACGAGTAGTCTCGGAACTTTGACACTCCGATGGGAGAGGGAGAGACAGAAGAAAGAGCGAATGTGTGTGTATGTGTGTGTAAGAGTGAGAGAGAGAAAGAGAGAGAGAGAGAGACAAAGAATGAGGGGTAGGGAGAGAGAGAGAGAGATAAAAGGAGATTACCGACACGCGCGATGCATACGGTGCTGCGTCACTTTTCGCCGTTCGTTCCGCTTCGGGTTCCCGAGAATCGCGCGAACGCAAGCGATTCACCCGTCGGATTGTCTCGCCGAGTCCGCGGCAAACGGAACGCGAGGTCTCAGCGGATACGCCTCTCGTACGGCTCCCACCCGACTCGGTTTTCTCTCTCCGCCGAATTCACCGAGAGCATATACGTACCGACCACTACGAACAAGTAGGAAGCAGTGCGAACTGCGAATCCCGACGGCGTATCGCATCAGAATTTCCACGCGCTGTCGTCGCGGCGCCATCTGGCGTCGCGATCCGGCACTCGGCCTCATGAGAGTTGACAAGAGTCTCATTGGCCGCGTTCAGCAGACCGCCGCTCAGTAGCAATCGAACGTGATTGGCTCTTACTTTTAGAACCCACCAATCAACGCAGATTGTTGATAAGACAAAGTCAACAGTTGTGTCTGCTGAACGCGGCCATTGGGCGCGTTCAGTAGACCAAGCCGCTCAGTAGCAGTCGAACGTGAATGGCCGCGTTCAACAGACACAACTGTTGAGTTCGTCTTATCAACACTCTACGTTGATTGGTTGGTTTTAAAAGTAAGAGCCAATCACGTTCGACTGTTACTGAGCGGCGGTCTACTAAACGCGCCCATTGACTCTTACTTTTAGAACCAACCAATCAACGCAGAGTGTTGATAAGACGAACTCAACAGTTGTGTCTGCTGTTGGAAACGCGAATTAAGGCCATTGCACGTAACAAAGTTTTAGTTATAATCGTAAGGCTGTAAGGAAATAGACCAATCACAGTCGATTATTCTCCTCGCGCTTGAAGAATAATCGAGTGTGATTGGTCTATTTTCTTAAACCTTGTGTCCACGATGCTAGAACTGTGTTCGAGTTTTAGTTTAAGCCAATGAAACTGCTACTTTTCTGTAAGAGCTGCAAGTTAATTGGCTTAAACCGAAACTTGGACACAGTTCTTGCATCGTGGACACCGGGCTTTAGCATGGTACTTTGGTTCCTGCGGAACCAGTAATCCATTCGGGACAGAAAGAAGAAGAAGAAGAAGGCATGTTGCTGAAGGCGTGTTGCTACATCTCGTCGGTATGACGGGAATCAGAACCTGATTCCTGTCAACTTTAACGTTTAATATCTCGCGTCGCGGGGCAGAGCAACACTTTTTTCTGCCAGATTCTTTCATTTCGTACAAAAACGCGTCGATTGAGCATAATTTCATCGATATTTGAGGTGAAGCCCCTAAACTAAATAATTACCGTCATGCTAAAAATCGCCTATTGACATATTTTTCAAAAAATTTCTAACTGTCACCTTCAACTTCAACAGTGAAACACCAGTGGTAGGGATGGCTTGAGTGGGCTTGAGTAGGTGGAGGTGGAGGGCAAAGGGCAACCGCCTGCCATATATCCTCATCCGGCTAGTCTGCCGGTGCAGGCACGTGTCATGTATGTACATACATAGATCGAAGACCATGGACTTCACTTTGATCTATGTATGTATGTACATGGCACGTGCCTGCACCGGCCTTCATCAGCAATCAGTGTATCCCGAAAACAATCAACTACCGATTCATCAGTTCTCTAGTCCACCTCAAAGGCACCGGCCGCATATCCGAACACTTGGTAATTCGTTTGGAGATTCCAATCGAATTACCAAATGTGTTCGGATATGCTCATGCGCCCGCTCCTCAGCATGAATGTGTGTAGGAAAACTCACACTCAGGCTGAGGAGCGGACGCATGAGCATATAAAAAGATCGAATTGCTTCTTTTTTAAACGAGTGTACAGATACAGAAGATGAAGACGAATAAGTTAAACATTCTGCATATAGTTTTGAGTAAAAATAATAATTTAATAATGTTTTTACATAAATAATTGAATGTACTAATAGACGTATTTTGCAAGTAATCCAATTAAGAGAAAGTTCAAGAAAATAAAATATCGCCAATAAATGATGTTTCGGTAAAGAAAGGCGAAAAAAAAATTGTAAGTAGGTTCAAACTTGAACGAGCCGGAAGAAAGAAGTGACTTGTAAATATATGTTGAATACATATATTAAAATTAAAATTTATTTTCGCAATACATACCCGAATAAATATAAATTTTCCAAAATCACACTTCCTACTCGACATATACCTACTTTCGAGTTTTTCTAGTATCCCCGCAAACAGATATAAGATTATCAGACATTTTCCAATATTTTTTATGAGACTAGCTTTAAGGATTGAGTGGAAACTGTTTTTTATATCGATTTAAAGATTATTTGTAAATTTTGATATGTAGTATTTATCTATCTATTACAACTAAAGACTTTTCACTTGAATTCCTTGTTCCGCATATAGCAAGTCGCTATATACATTGCTGATTTACAATTTTGCACCTGCAGGGAACACCGCGTGATGTCCTCAATTTTTTATTTTTTGCTCCAAGCTAGAAAGGAATCCTATGAAAGGATGAATTATACATCGACGAGATACTAATAAAGATCGTTGACTCTGAGAAAATTTTTATTACTGTCAATAGTGTCCTGAATTCTGGAGACGCAATTAGACAGTATCGATATTGTCTGCAGCTATATCGACATAAATTTTTCAATTACCGATGCACATAATTAAAAATTAACTTATATAATGCAGTATTTAATTCTTTATTTATTATTATATATGTATACATATATTTTAATAATATAAAATATCTTGCAAAGTATTCACTTTTCGATGACTTTACCTTGATATTTTTACACATAGAATAATAACAGCAAGCGAATAATAATTTTTATATTTGCAATTTTGCAAAATTCAATGCGTCTACAAAATGCAATCAAATTAAAAAAATATATATATATTTTTACAACAATCGATTTCTTTTTATCATTTAATGTATAGAAGTATCAAGATAAAGCTATCAAAAAGTAATACTTTACAAGATATTTTAGATTTTGTACTAAAAATATCATAATAAAAAATTTAAAATCTCAGAAAAATCTTAACAAAAAAGAGCTTTCTTATAATGTTTTGAAAACGTCTTGACGAGATCTACAACTTTTATGTCGAGGAAAAAATTAAGTTCCATTTAAGAAATTAATCGCTTTTAAAATTTCTAAAAAAACGACATGTATGTACATGACGCACATTGGATTCATGTATCCCCTTCAAACCAAACAACTTTTGTCTGAAACGTTTTTCCATATCTTCTATATTTTTCAAGACATTTGCCTGGGACATTAAAAATGGGACACCCTGTATATTATCGCGAATATATATTTTTTTCAAATTCATACAAATGCCGTACATGAATGTATGTAAATAATGAGTAATCTATAGATAAAGTCATCGAAGATTTATTTATTTCATCAGAAATATTGGAAATTTATATATTTTACTTACAATTTTATTTTCAGCTCTATTAATTAGCTTGGGCATAATTTTTAGAATGTCAGAAAAAATTAATAATGGTTTTATAGATATTGAATAACCTATAGATATTGAATACCTATAAGAAAAAGAAAATAAACGTCATGCATATTGTGTTGCAACTGTAAACTAGACAATACTGCTTTTTATCGTTTAAGAGGTCACAGAGATCAGTGTAAATAATAATATATTATATATATTATTTATATATATTATATATGTTATTATATATATATATCTATTTCTATATTAATATCATGCATCTTTTATGTCACTGTGCAGTTAATAAGTGAATTAAGATTGAAAATGTATCTAATCTAATCTATCGTCTATTCTTTTTCGAAGAACTTCCTAAACTAGCCTAGTGACAGTGACTTGCACTAATGCAATAAGTTGGAGTGAGATAAGTTATGATACAAACAATCATAAAAGTTAAGGCTTTGTTTGCTAAGATACGATCACATGTAATATTTTCCTTCAAATCAACCGCTAAATTTTGAAATTTAGACTTTAAATATTCTCAAAATTGCTATTTCATTAAATATTGAAGAGTCAATTAATTAAATGACATATAAATAGTTTTTTGGACGTTTGGTAATATTAACTTTTCTAAACTAATACCAGGTTTTCCATTAACAGTTCTATATCAAGAAGAAATAATTTTTGCATGTGGTAAGCATTTATTATAATGATCACAAACATATGCATAAGCACGTGGAAAACAATAGTAAAGAGTTAATGCAAACAAACATATTTTCAGTGTATACTGTTTGAATACACAGTCATCTTTCTTCAGTCATCGCTTAATAAATCACTTAATAATCTCATCAAATGGATCATTTAACATTATTTTTCAATGTGCCCAAAATGCTTTTGAGCATGTCCACTTGATTTTTATATCGACGTATTTTTTGTCGTGCAGTTCGCATTTTTCTCGTATGTTCTGCTTGCAAGAATTTAATTCTTTTTCTCAACCGAAACATTTCTGGAGAATAATAGATGAGTTCAGGTGATACCATCGTTTCTTTGTCCACTTTAACTATTTGCTTTGGTAATGGACGTTTCTCGGATAAATCGGTAAGATCCTTAGTAACCATTGTTGCTTTATCAACTTTAGATGTTGAAGATTGTGCTAAAATAATAATAAATAATAATTATATCGGATTCAAAATATTGAAACTATCAGTACTTCTCTCAAGATAAATATAATGTGTCAATTAATAATTATTTTTACATGGAAAAATATTCGGCATTGTTGATGATGACCATATATCGATTTCTTCGGCATTTTCTATTTTTATTGGCATTAATAAATGATCTATTTTTGATGAATTATCTACTAAATCTACTTTTTGTGATACTGTTTTAACAGGATTTTCATCATTAACAGGTGGTTCTGCCACAATAAAATGTGAAAGAGGTACTGTAGATATCTGGTGTATTATGAGTCTTTTCTGAAATAAGAAATATATCCATGAATAAATAAAAAAAATAAACATTATAGTATAAAACATCTGCTCTCTATGTCGTGAGAAATAAAAAATCAATTGTTATTTATACACTGGGCAATGCATTTGGCCTAAGTCGGTTTATAAATGAACTTCTGTCAAAGTCTTTCTCTTCAAAGTGATCAGAGCAAATGCGAGCTGTCTCTGGGACAGTTGTTGATGGGATGGTTGGTCCCAAAATATCTAACCACTCTTTGCGAGTTGCAGGATTTTTGGGAAAACTAAAAAAAGACAATGTTTATAACAACTTATACTCTGAAAATAGAACATATAATATTATTATGAATATGACAAACAATTTTCGATACCTGTGAAACGAAACTTTTAATTTATTTCCGATATTATATATTCTCTTTCTCGCATTTTGACCGTCCGATCTGTTTCTGCAAGTCTGTATAAAGCACTGCACCATTTTTCACAACCATAAAAAGAGTATTTGTTAATATAATAAAAACTGTATTGCTTCTTTCGGATATAACCACACTTTGTAAGTGTTTACTATCGATGCTGATGCTGCTGCTCTGCCTGCTGCATGGCATATTTGCATCACTGCGTTTGCGCCAAATAGCCAAATAGTAGCCAATCAAAAGTAGGCACAGTTCATCTCATCTCGTCCACTTGTATATTTATATTTTAAAACGAGATAAAATTTACAAAAGTGAATAGATTTACTAGATTTCGACAAATAAAATCGTAGATACTCTAGTAGACATTTTGAATTTCTTCAGTTTTTTTTATAATTTTTACCGATCGTTTCAAAATATAACAAAATTAATATCGATCCCAGTGTGCTGAGTGTGCACTTCGGTGTTCAGCTAGCTCGAGCCGAGAGAGAGAGAGAGAGAGAGAGAGAGGGAGGGAGGGAGAGAGAGAGAAAGAGAGACTGTCCACCGATTGGTCCTCGCGGCACCGAGGGACGCAATTCGCCGATTTGAATCAGGTCGGTTTTTAAAAATGGACGCGAAGAGTCGTCCCCTATCACATGTCATCCGCTGCCTTTTACGTTCGAAAACACGTGCACTGTCAACAACGAAACGCGACATTCGCCGAGCTATGATTCTCAGTACTTTCCAGATAAACATTTCCGCCGAGTTCTGACGTCGAGCGACCGCGTTAAATTCGTGACTGCTCGATAAATTTTCAAAGGAAAACTGTCGAGCTTATACGTGACGCGTTAGCGCCTCCGACGAGGAACTTGGCGAATCTCCCTGCGAGATATTTCAGGGCGATAATGGAAAAGTATCAGCACATGAGAGCATTCATATCCGCGGCGTTGGATCACACCAAGCACCCCTGCGAAAATGTGATCTCCGCTATACAAAGGAGCCTTGGAGTAAGTATAATATGGGAGCACACATTCATGCTCGATACATTCATATCGCGTTTACATTTTGAAGAGTGCTCCTATTTATACCATTTTCTGTTTCTAAGGTAATAAGCGCGTCGCTGGACCTGAGTATATTTGATCCTGGGACGAGCATAGCCGCGGAATTCTATGTGAGCCTGTACGAGCTTATGAACTCCTTAGGATCGCGATCTACCTTGATCTGGAGCGCCGTAGATGTTTTGCAAAATGCTTGCCGGAACGTACCTGCCAGACAATCGCTCATCCATACGTATAAATTTGCTCCGATACTAGCGAGATTACTGGAGGTATGGAATTTAATCGACATTATTAGAAATATATTATACGATCAAATTAACGTGATGGATTTTTGTTCCTATATGGGTGCGTATAGGCAAATCTGACGACTGAAAAGAGGATACGAGTGCTGAAATTACTGCAAGAGTTAACATATGGAATTAAGATATCATGGCAAGAGGCTCATCTTCCGTATTTAATTTCAACGTTAACTCAATGGGTAGTACAATCAAAGGAAGAAGAGATTATCGCACTTTCTTTAGGTGTGCTGGTCAATCTGTGTTATAAAAATCTTCCGGCGGTGTATACGCTGATGCGGACCGTCAATACTAAAGCATTTATCAGAACGTTGTTGAAACTCCAAGATCATTTCAACACTAGTGTACAATGTTGCAAATTATTGATTATATTGGAGCCGACTAATACAAACATATCTGAGAAGTATATCATGGACTTTGCGTCGCTGACGTTTGCCAATCTCAGAACAGCGCTGAGACAGAAGGACGTTTTATTATTGAGACATATCGTCGACTTTTTTAACGATGTCGGACAAAACGAGCATTCGCGAAATGCACTGCTCACATATTCAAAGTAAGTCGATTAAATCAGGTTCTTACGTGACGTAATAATGGGTGGAATGTTTTAAAAATGACACATTAAATTTTCGGTATTGACTAGTTATGGCAAAGATATTGAAAATATATTGGCCACTTTGGAAGAAAACGCGGATCCAGAATGCGTCGCCCTTATGATGGAATTTTTACTGTCATTAGTGAAGCTGAAATTAACTGCCTTAACGCCTTTGTATCCCGCGTGTATAAAATCAGCTATGACATGGGTGCCTGTGGAACAAGTACGTAATCTCTACTATCGTAACTCTTATTAACATGGCAGTTCAAAACATAGTAAAAAAAAAGACAGGTACGAGAAATTAATCAGCAATTTAATCGAAGTTTCTGTTGACAAATGTAGGTATGTTCGAAAGCTTTAGCGCTCATACGGAGCGTGATAATTGATTCCCGACGCACCAAGACCTCTGCCGAAGTTTTAACGGAGCTAGATCCGTCGGTCCTTATGCTTATAACGAATCCAGAGGACAACATTAATGGGCAAAATGGGGGTCGAAACGCAGAAATGGAAATGAAGCAAGCTGAATTGATGCAGCTGTTTCAAGAAATGATTAAAACTCCTGCGCTGAAAAAGAAGATTATGAAATCCTTCAGCGAACATGCAATGCGCAAACTGTTCAGTCACGTGCTGGATAATGATTTTTCCGCTGCTGGAGATTGGACTGGGAACTTTATCCAGGTTTAATACAGAATTTAATACAAAATATGTGCAGCACGTGTTAAATATATTAGCTGTACTGAATATATATTTTCAAACTTTGCAGAATGTTTCTACCAATCTTTACATTCATGCGTTAGCCTTAACAGCAGACTTGGCAGCAAATCATTCCAACTGGTTAACACTGTATTCCGAATTGCTCAGTAGAAAACAAATGCAAATGATAATAGCGCTAGCATTATTCACCGGTGACGGAGAAGTTAAGCAGAAAGTCTTGCAGCTGACATCGTCGATTGGATTTCCACAAGAATGGTAAGCTCTTCACATGCGATAAGACGTTTATCCTAATTTAATATGTGACAGTTGTACATAAGGAATTTCTGTTTGACAAGTGTTTCCGCAGTGGCACTTTGCATGAAAGAATTAGAACCGTTGATATTAGTTCAAAGTACTAATAGCAACATACTGGAAGTCACAAATAAAGTATCCTTGAGTTACGCCGGGAATGAACTGGCGCCGTTATTTTCCATTGCACAAGAAGAGCGCCTCGATGCATTCTTAGCTAAGCTCAAATCGACTTTCGAATCGAATCAAAGTGATATTTCAACGTCTGCAGTAATGGAATTATATGAATATAAGGTGAAAAAAATTATGCACATATATGTATGATATAATATATGTATTTTTATATTTACAGTGCAGCTTGATATTATTTATTGTGTTGTAACTAACTCCTTTAAAGTTAGCAGCAATGAGACATTCTGAAAGGGCGTGGCAATCAAGTTTAGAAGCAGCGAATAATCATGCTACTAGTCTCCAACACAGATTAGCGCAAGTAGTAGCTGAATCTAGTAGATTACATCAGTTATTGTTTGACACTCAACAATGTTTGGAAGGAATTAAAGTTGAAAAGTCTGCATTAGCGGGAAAGCTTAGCGAAATGGAAGATCAATCCAAGAAAGCGCTTCTTATAAAAAAACAAGTTAGTATTTATCATGAATGTATGAGATATGCAGCTCTAAGAAAGATTTTTATAGTAGTTTTTATACTATTGCATTTTTGCTGCATTTCTAGGAGATTGAATCCTTGAAAAAAATTGTGATAGAGAAGTCGACAAATGTGGAGAATCTAAATGAAAAACTAATACAATGTACAAAAGAATTAGAAGCTTGTAACAATCAAATTGATATATTAAGCAAAAAAGTCAAAGAATTAGATAATGAACGTTTAGCCGCCGAAGCAAAGGCTATGGACATGGGCAATAAAAATCACGAATTAAGTAAACTTTTACAAAAGGTTAAAGAATCTCTTAGCAAGAAAGAACAGGTACAGTAATTCTTTGTATATTTTTGACAAAAAAAGTTTTAAGCAAATTCTATTATATTTCATATATTGTAGATCTTAGAGGAAAAGAGTGCGGAGATAGAAACAAATCAAAGCGATATATCTGCGCTTAAGCAAGAAAATCAACAAATGACACATATGCTACAAACATATGAGCAAACTATATCGGAAAAGGAAAGGAATATTCAAAGAATGAAAGGGGAATTGAAAGAATTGAGTCGCATGCGAGATATGATCTTTGAACTTACTGCTAAAAACAAAGACGATATAAATTCAAGTTAGCAATCCTTTCATTTTAGAATTATTAATAAATATGGGAAATGTAAATGAATTGATCAATATAAATTTCTATTCTTATCTACATTTTTATGTGAATGTATCTATCAATTTATTCTTAATTATGTTTTAATTTCTATTTGCTACATAAAATAAAAAACAGATGTTTTGAAGTGTTCTTGCTTTAGGAAAATTACAAAAACGGCACAGTGTATGCTTTAACATAACAAAATTTATTGAAGATATGTGATATATGATCAGAAAATTTATATATAAATAATTATATCATTATTGTACAAATATCCATTGCTTATTCAACATGATCATTATATTTCAAGAAAATTTCTTGTATAATAAATATTGCACATGAGACAACTATTATATTTTTATCGTAAATTAAAACACAAATATATCATTTTGCATACCAGTATGCACATGAACATATTTATGCATATATTAAACATATTAAACATAAAACATATTATTGCTAATATGTTAAACATATTGTTAAGTAGATTAAAAATGTACATGCATAGAATGTGGGTTACTTTTCTGTCATGTTAGATGTAATCGCTAACGATTTCTACTTATTTCATATCGAAATACTTAAAGCAAAATTTCTGTGAATAATTATATATCCTGCTGTTTTGAATGACAAAATCACTTCTTTGCCTCCATATATCATTTTTATATATACTTTACTATCAGACATTTATACATCAATGATATATTAATACTGTTACAATTTCACTTACATCAAGGAGAAGCCTTACTTCTTACTTTCCCCTTTGGCATTATAAAATAATTAATACTTTTGTTTTTTAAAGCCATGAATTAATATTAAAATATTTAGAGATAATAACAAATATCTTATTAAATTATAAATAGAAAATATTTATATACTGTTTTTAATAACATTGCTAATAATTTTAATTGCTTTTTTTCTAGTTTATCATCCATATACATGATTCTTATCAAATATAATAATAAAAAAGAGGTGTATATATATATATATGTTTTGAACGGCAAAGTTTTTGGTCTACTGTATATACTGTTGCGTGTGATATATATATATATATATATATATATATATATATATATATATATATATATATATTCTATCTATAAAATTAAATGCTGTTTTATACCCATAATCAGGATGTCTATAACTGGTACAAGAAGAGATTCTATATGTAAAAATAAATCAAAGGAGTAGAATATAATATTTTCGTACAACTTTATTTTTAAGAAAATTCATATTAAAATTAAAAATTCAACATCTGTACTTTTCTTGAATGATTTCCCATGATCGATCTTATATCATATAAATTATCAAACTGTCTCAAAAGCAACTATGCAAACATGCATAAAAAAATACAAAATTTTATCGAAAAAATAAAAATAATCTCAATATTTTCTACATGATCTCTTAAGTAACTTATCGCTTTATTAAAAATGGAATGTTACACTTTTTTATTTATTATCGTTATTTATTAATAATATTATTATTATTTATTAATATTTATTATCGTTATTTATTAATAATCGTTAAAATGAGTTCAGCATTATGTGCGTAGTGTCGTCGCTAATCATCCATGTTTAAAAAGTATAAGAATATTAATTTTCCTATAATTTTTCTTTAAAGTCATTTCTTCAAAAACAAAGTCCTGAAAACATTTTACTCTACACTTTTGATTTACTATATACAATTATTTTTTCTGTACCATTGGACACCCTGTATATCACATCAATATCAGCGATTTTACTTAATTTCATTTTTTCATGGAATTGCAGACCTTTTTATGTATCCAGACAAGATATAGCTGGATCAATAAAATGGTGAAGCAAAATGGGGAGTTGAAAAATATGTTACTCAATCCCAGTTATCTGATGCAAAAGCCAGTCGGCGACATCTATCTCCTTTGTGTGTCAGTAATAAACTTGATAATACTGAAATTTGATTCATTTGTCATTGCATGTATCGCTCAACGATAAATACAATTATAATTTTAGAAAAGCCATGAAAATAAATTATTTTTCAAAATAATAATGAATGATAAATACATATCAAATTATGTAAAACTGGCCAGCCAAATTAAAATGTACTATGTGCAACATGATTAAAAAGTATATTATTTTCCACATTTAATATCGTTAAACTTCTAACGCGGCATTGTCATCAACTGCCGCCCTTGCTCCACGGCTGCTCAGTTGCGGACGCGAACATCAAATAGAAGCAATTAGTAACCACATTTATTCCCGCTGCCATCCAGAAGACTATATGCCAGCGTGCGAGGGTTTCCTGTAATGCAAGAGAAAAAAAAACAACATATGTACATCTGCAGCCTAATGAACGTTTGAAACGAGGAATGCGACGAATATACTAACATGTCCCTGTATTATACTGCCGATAACATACGGTGCCAAGAAACCACACGCATTGGCCGCGGCGTTCGTCAATCCATACAGGGTACCCGCGTAACGTGGTGCCAATGCGATGTGATTCATCTGATTTCCGGCATACACCGCGCCTTGAAGAGATCCCAGCATGGTGAGCATCAGCATCACCATTCTACGATTGCATCCGGCCCAGATAACACCGACAAAACCGAGACTGGGCCCCACCGAGGCCACCGTGTTCCATAGTTTGAATGAAGCCAGAGGTGAGATCAAACGACGAGCGAGGAGCATGTCCGCGAACATCGAGATAAGAAGACCCATCAGCCAAGCGCTCAAATACGGAAACGTTGAGAAAACTGCGTTCTGCTGTATATTAAAATTCAAAATTTTGTCCATATACGTCGGCAGGTCGGTCAGAAGAGTGTAGAAGGCCCAGGCCTGGCCGCACTGCGTAATAGTAATAGCCCACATAGGTAGAGAGGTAAAGACGGACAGCCAAGGTACTCCTGGGTCATCGTCCTGTTGTTTAAATTATTCGATCATTAAGTCAAACACGATAACTTCGCGGAAACATTTACGTATTAAATATAATACTGACCTCGTTCTTTTTTTCGACGCTAGCTTCGATATACGCCTTTTCGGCAGGATCGATGCTCACGTGTAGCGATGGAGTATCGTAAATGTATATCAACCAGAATATGTACCACACGAGACCGAGACTACCGAACAAATAAAATGCAAGGGGCCAACCGTTCCACAATTCTAAGGAACATAGCCAGCCGCTCACTGGTAATGAGACGACAGTTCCAAAATTCGCACCTGAAAAAAGTATTGTAAGTATCCCTGAGCATTCTTTTTATCCATCATAAGGCAAAACAAGCAAATTACCTGCGTATACTGTAGCAGCAAATCGACTTCTCTCTAACGGGGGTACCCAATGTGCCAGCATACTGTGCATCGCAGGAAACGTTACTCCCTACGTATCATACGAAGAAATATTAATAATTTCTATACAGACATATGTTATGAAAACAGAACATTTACCTCAGTAAATCCTTCCGCAACTCGTACAACCAAAAATGGTACCAGACCCCAATACGCGGCGAATGGGCTTATCACGGTCAGAATAGCGGTCAGAAATACTCCCAGACCATAAACTAACTTGCCGCCCATTTTCTCAGCCATTCTACCACCCGGAACATTTGTAGTTACATAGCCGAGAAAGAATGCGCCTAATATAATGCCTTGAGTCTTTTCATCCCAAGCAAATTCTCCCGCGCTCTGAAATAACATTGAAATTAATTTCAAAATGTAAAATAATAAAAAAAATGTTACAATATACGAATTTGCCCTGAGAAAAGACTTGATTAAAAAGTTGTGCCACATATTTAAGATACCTACTGCAAATTAAAATAATATTTAGACACATTTCTCTTGTTCGAATACTAAGAAAAGAAATTTTTTTAGTCTTAAATGATATATTTGACGATATTAATGTTTAACGAAATAAATTAAGAAATAACGGAAAAGTTATAACAGGTTTATAATTAGTTTCATTATTTAGTTTGTATACTATCTCAAATCTTAGAATTCTGACAAATTTTGTGACAAATGTTGAGGTACTATTGAGATAAATCCATATCATCATATATTAACACAAAGAAGAAACAGTATAGTGTTACATTTATGTTTCAGCATGATAAGTTTGAATGACTAACACTATGTGTGATAACTCATATCTAATGACATAATAACAAGAGAATAATACAAGAGGCATAAAGGTAATGTAATATATGAAGATTCAGAGAACTACTTGAAGAAAACAATGATCGAATTACCGGTACGAAAGTCAGGTTTATCTTGGGTGTATACTTAGGACAAACGTCACTAGTATCGTTATCATCGGTGTGCGGAATCGCTGACTGGTTAACCATGGAGACAATGGCTACCGATAAATTGACCCTCATAGCATATACAAGGGCGAAGCCAAGAAAGCCCAGGGCACCGAGAGTATGACGCGCTTTTATCCATGAAGTGGTATCTGGCGGAATCTGCGATGTGTTAACTGAAAGAATATTACATTATGAGCATACTTATATTGTCAATAGAGAAGTTGAAATATATTATGAACAGTCTTAAAAAAGAATAGAAGATCTTGAGTTATGTAATTCAGTTCTTGGTTGTTCTAGAAACATTAGAGAACATTAATCTATGCTAAAGAAAATCATTAGCGGATCATGACGCCGATAATGGGGAGTGTTTCGGTACAATTATTTGGTCTGATATTCTTTTTTTAGTATCACGCTTAGCTTTTACTCCAGGATGAGAAAGTGGTAAAATTTCTGATCCCTCTTTTAACATTTAGAGCCGATTTCACAGTCTCCGATTAATGTGATCTTCCGATTAAACTCACTCTGCATCTCTTTCTAACTGTCTCCCTAGAAAGAGACGAAGGGTGAGTTTAATCGGAGGATCAAGTTAATCGGAGACTGTGAAATCGGCCCTTAATGCATTTTTTCTCTATATTTTTTAAACAGACCTATAGCAAAGATAATTTTTGTGGAAGGGGGTATTTTGGTGTTAAAAGGATTCATCAGTGAACAAGATTAAATCTTTTATATGATTTAGATGATTTGAGACGATATTTATTATAAAGCTATCAAACAGATC